TTTCGACGAGGTTTTGCGAGTTTAAGCTTTCAGCGTAGAGATGTGTGTTTTCGACGAGGTTTTGCGAGTTTAAGCTTCTTCCGTTAAGATGACTCGTATTTTTGACAGAGCTTGACAGACTATGACCTCTTTCAGCGGTATTTTTGATGTGGGTTAAACTTTTTCCAGTGAAATAACCCTTAATGATACCTGTAGTTTTGCTGTCGAAATGGATAATAACATATAAGCTTGTTTCTGAGTGTGACGCGAGGCTTTCGGTGGCGAAGGTAAGAGTATATCTTCCATAATGATCTCTGCTTGGGGTATGAAGAAAAATAATGTTTTCTGGATATACTGCGGAGTGTGCCATGTTTATCTACAGTATTAAAGCAGACGTGATTTTTGGATGATTCCGTATTTATATTTTATGGATCGAAATAACCGCAAGCTCAATAAACCAAAACCCAACATTCGTATCGTTTTTATATTTTAAATCTGCAGAAAAGGTCACTAAGTACGTACAGGTTTTTAAAAGGATTTTGGGATTTCAATTGATTCATGTGCTACCCCAATCCTCGAATCTCGGTGTTTCAATCCTCGCATTCAATCATTTACTCTGTACGTGTCACGATCGAACGTGACCAAATATGGTCAACCGTTATCTCATGTTTTCATGAAATTATGAAATAATAATATGGTAAATATTATGCTATGAGAATACATAAATAAGCTACTTAATATTTACAGACAAAATTTATTTAAGCTTATTTATTGATGTCCTTATCATTAACATTCAAACCTTCTTTTTATCTCTGTTAAACAATTGTATTAAACAATATACCATTAAAACCTTATATCAAGTAATTGGATTTACTAATAAAATAGAATTAATACCAATACTGATTATTTAAATAAATTATAATTTAGAAATATTGGAAAAACTTGTTTAAGGCTATTTAATATCCTCCACTTGATGTGATATACCGTACATGTACAATTGTGTATCGAATCGAGAACAATAGAAATACTATCAGCCACGATTACACATTGATCGAAGGATGAGAGGGATAATAGTTGTGCGACCAAAACACCTAAATCTTAAAATCATTATCTAGCAATGTTTGCATTCCAATATTGTTATTGTACCACAATAAAATAATAACTCATATGAAAGTATCAAATGTTACCGGTAAATAATTCGTCATGTTTTTTACTATCAAAAACGAAATTTGTTCACTGTTTGTTCGTTTATACAGTATCATACTAGTAATTGACTATTCAGAGATGGTAGTATTCACGCTTTGATTTGAATCAACAAATCCAAATTTTGTTGACAGATTCTTCCGATATAACCAGAAAGAATCACTCATGAGGTGTTATCGACATATTTATAACTAATTAAAACGAAAACACACCTTTATAATCATAACTCGCCCTTTAGATAAAATTATTTGTCGTAAAGCAATCGAACAGTTCACTGAAGAAGCATGTACCGTAATTATTAACACAATAAATTACGTATACTGTATACAGTATATAGTATACATAAATCAATGTATTAGTAGAGCCTTAACGAAAAATAAAAAGGTTTGTTTTCAGTAAAATCATACATTACAATGATTGTTATCGTATAATATAAATTACCATATTTGTTATAGAGGCGATGTATAGCATCCTCTTGTAACGTAAAAAAAAACTTTGATTACGTAATGATAATCACAATCACGTAATCGGAAATTAACACTGTTAAAGTACGGGAAAAAATTTTGCACACATCAGGAATGGAAAACATTAAATCAATCAGTTCGAATACTTCAAGAAAGTGTCTTCTGTAATTTGATATATGATAATATCTACCGAATCTTGATATAAGATAACCATCGACCGTATTGTCCAAAAAATATCTCGCAACGCACATTTTAAAAAATCCAGAGTTATTAGATTTAAGCCTGATACTTTTGTTTTCTTTTATAAACATACAGAATGTGGTCATTTGAGTAATTGTATTCTCTAAAATAGCTAAATTGAATATAGTCAAAATTCCAATTGGTGACCATTTTCGATATTAGAATATTTTTGTTTTCACTTACTGTATATGTCATAGGGCAAATAACTCAACAATGCACATTTTCGTTTTAGTATTTCTTATACTCAATCGGGAATGCATTCGATAAACAGGGAGGTTTTGTTTATAAAATGAAATATTGTTTAATATATCCGTACTTGTTATGAATTTAAACAAGAAGACCGTTTTTTTTATGGTGTATACTGTATTATGCACTTCAATAGGATTAAGATTTATCGCTCAATTCAAGCCCAGATTTCATATAACCTTTTGATGTTCCTCCGTGTTATAAACTTCTGAGAATAAGTCAATATTCAACATCATTGGCCGTGATTATATTTTTATGCTGGATGATCGTTACGGAACGATAGTTAAATATACGTAAATTTAGAGTTTTATAGTAAAGCGAATAATATAATTATTGATAAAATTCCACTACGAATAGCGCTAATTTCTTTTCCAAAAATTACGAAAATCTATCCAGAAACAATGAATCGCAATATTTATCATCACAAGACGACGAAAAGAAAATCATATGTAACAATGTGATCGCAATTTTCATAAACTTTTTAATACGTAGTAACAAATAAATACATCTAGCAGCTACAGCAGATACAAATCATCAATGTAAGTCTAATGTACAATATAATCGGCAATTAAATAAGATATTTAGAAATTTAAGAAAGAGATATCATTTTATAGGAAATTCCTTTTTTAAACATTGACTTCTTCGACATCGACCTGACACAATCCTGACCCGATAAACTTCGGGTAAATTCCTTCATCGATAGTAATGGTTATACAATCCTTAAAATTACTATGCGAAGTAGCAATAATTTCTTTTTGGTTACTTCCGATAAAAACACGGATAAGCTTAAGATGAGTCACCCCACCAAGAGATATTAAGACGGTGTATTCATCATGCTTGTGAATAATCCGACTTTTGCAGATATGGATTCGGGAAATGTTTCGGAGAGTAATGCGTCGGTTTTAAATCGATCCTCCATTTAAAAGAGTTGGTTAGCATTTCCTTGGCAAGGCTCACATCAAGATTTCTGTAACAGCAAAGTTAAATTTTGTGTTAAGAAAGTTTATAAAAAAAGGTTCTTAAATTGACAGAACGGATTTGAAATAATAATGATAAATGATATCTAGCTTTCAAGGATTTCCGGAGAATATCATGTCAATAATCGCTAGAATATTTATCTAAAAAATACACCAAATCGTATAATTCTCTGGAATCTTAAATCTTTTATAATTTCTGGAAGTAACGCTATAAGTTATATTAATTGCCTTCTTTTTTCTTTGATAAATGCGTATATAAGTAAATTGCTCTCAGTATTTTCCGTATTATGATATATATACAGTATATATTTTGACTTAAACCTCGCAACTGATTTTGGCGGTTCATTTGTTCCGTACATATCGTATTTTTATATAAAAGTACAATATATTTAAAAAATTTTATTTTTATTTTTATATTTTCTTCAAGTAAATATTTACAAGATTTTTGTAGATGTACTGTATAATATCTACAAGTATATGTGCTTATACGGTACAATATACATATTTGTTAAGAATGATTGCATTTTTGTGGTCTCACACCAACTTGCATACGTGATTACTAACATTTTTGTGGTCACCAACTTGCATACGTGATTACTAACATTTTCGAGGTAGTAATAACTTTAATAAATTTATGTATTCAATTTTTTTTAATTTAAATTTATTGAGAAGAATAATATTTCTATTTTTAAATTATGTTTAGAAATATTAGAGATTTCAAAAAAATAGCAATAATAACGCCAACAATGGTAAAATTGATTTTTTAAAAATTTTTTTAAAAAAAGATGAAATTGTTTGATAATAAACAATGTCATCAAACTATTTAATAGTATATTTTTATGCAGAAAATATTTGGCAAAAAAAAAAAAAAAAACACAAGTTTATTGAAAATATTTGAAATTGGTTTAGGTATCAATTATTAATTTAAAATAAATAAAATCTTTTTTTTTATTTTAATTATTTTCTATTTTTCATCGATTAAATATTAAGGTTATTACGAGATATTCGAATTTTATAAAGTAATAAAATAATTTTATCCTATTTATGCACACAAAGAAATATTTTTATAAATAAATTATTATAAATCATAGAATGCATAAAATTATAAAGTTTTTTAGTGAAAAAAAAATTACTTCAATTGACTTTTATTATTCAAAAAATTCAAAAAAAAAAAAAATAATAAAATTTTTTTAACGAATTTTTTTTAATAAATTTAAAATAGAAAAAATAAATTGTACCTTATATTATTTAATATGAAAAAAATATACAAAAAACATTTTTAGATAGAGTTTCGGACAACTTAAAATTCTATTGGTTGAAAATAGCAATAAAGAATAAATCTATAGCATTGATAGAAAAAACAAAAAGACTTAACAATAAACCATATTTTCAATTAATTCCATATAATCATTAAACGTAGGAGTTATTATTCAGGGAACAGAAATTAAAATGATTTTCCAACGTTGACACAAATACAGTAATTCATGTTTTGTTTTATTTGCAAAATTAATCATATCAAGCATCGAGTGAATTATTCTCTTTTTTTTTTAACAACAAAAGGCGTATGAAGAAACCATTATCTCTATGTATAAAGAGGTCGCGGGGTTTTTATATCAAAATGGTTTTTTATCCATTGATATCAAACTTTGAAATCGTCACATATTCAGAATGCGCTTTGTCTTTTGTGCTAACACTAGACCCATATATGAATTGTTAAACAACACATTAACACATTTACAAATTAGGCTCTATTGTGATTAAATAACAATCAAAATTGGAAGCAAGTAACCGCATTGTCGTATAAGAATATTCTCTGAGAAAAAATAATTCAAACAAAATGTTTGAGTCTTGTAACAATGAACAAATATTCTTTTAAGTAAATTAATTTAAAAAAGTATTTAAGCCAGACGGGAAAGAGATCTTTGTAAGTAACATATTTCTTACTCGTGAACCTCTAATATTCAGAATTTTTGAATAATTGCGCCGGGTATACTACTTACTGTTAGGGAACTCTGTTGCTTGGCTACTAAGTATGCCAGCTTTGCTCTATGATTTTGCTAATCGCTTCTTCCTTTTGATATAGGCGATTGGACAATGGGTTTTGCAAAACATCAAAAAAATTGTACGCAAACTTCAAAAAAAGCTAACACACAAAAACTTGCAATTTAAGGTAAGAACACATTGTTGACTTCATTTATAGAAAAAAATCAAGCGCATTTATACAATTTTTAATTATCTTAATTAATTTTCTTTATCCCAATTATCAACTTTTCTCCCTATTGATTTTAAATACAGCAAATATAATTTGATATCGAGAAAAAAATTTTTAACAAAAATACAGAAATACTTTTTTTAAATTATTTATATAATCCCTTCACTTTTGGAACTCTTAAAGAGAAAGAATCCTTTTATGATCTAGAATTTATTTTCACGTCAGCCCTTATCAGCGCTTTGTTGGAAACATACCAATTAATTTTGAATACTTACTGGTGGAACGTTCTCTCGTGACGATTTCTATTACCAATCGTTGTGAAAGAACTATTGCACTCTGAAAATGTACAGCCATACGCTAGAAAAAAGGTCGATCATTCATTAGACCTTTAAGTCTTTTAATGGGGATAAAAAACTGGTTATAAACTCTAAACGAAATTTAGACCTACGCTTATCCCTAGTATGTACTATTGAATGATTATTCCAAAAGCTCGGATAGCGGAATAACAAACCACATTCAGGACAGCTGAACCTATAGAGTAATGAATAGTTTTCGCGAGTAATATAGCCGACGAGGGTAAGTTCTCTATTATTCTCTTCGCGGAAAATTCCATAAATGGGTGGGTAAACAAATGATGTCGGACTCTCGACGAGGTTAAGTTCTCCATTATTCTCTTCGCGGAAAATTCCATTAATGGGTGGGTAAGCAAATGATGTCGGACTCTCGACGAGGGTAAGTTCTCCATTATTCTCTTCGCGAAAAATTTCATTAATGGGTGGGTAAGCAAATGATGTCGGATTCTCGACGAGGGTAAGTTCTCCATTATTCTCTTCGCGGAAAATTCCATTAATGGGTGGGTAATCAAATGATGTCGGACTCTCGACGAGGGTAAGTTCTCCATTATTCTCTTCGCGAAAAATTTCATTAATGGGTGGGTAAGCAAATGATGTCGGATTCTCGACGAGGGTAAGTTCTCCATTATTCTCTTCGCGGAAAATTCCATTAATGGGTGGGTAAGCAAATGAAGTCGGGCTCTCGACCAGACCAGATGAATTTAAGTTTCTTCCAGAGGCGTAGCCCATAAAGACACCCGAGAGCAACAAACTTTCATCTTGATTATCCATACGGACTATCATATATCGACAATTTCTTAGGTTTACATCGCAGCTTCTTACAGTGTATAGGACGAATTCTCTCACACGTCCGAAATAGATGTATATAGGAAGGCTCATGGTGAGACTGATTATGAGATGTAAACTTTTCAATTTGCGCCGTGAAAAGGTTTGATCAAGTTCCTAGTGCGTGTCAGGGCATATTTAAATTAATAAAACGATTTAAGAATTTAGGTTTGTACAATGTAACGCCCTAAAAACATTACGTTAAGGAGTTTGGGGAATTGAAAAATACCGGTTTTAATGATTTCAGTGGATATACGTACGACTTTGATCCTCCATTCTTCTGGCTATGACCGATCCATCATACCGACTTTAATACTTTATGAACGAGTATACATCGTGATTTAAAAATTGTGATAAGACTTGTGCAATGACCAATATTAAACGTTTCCCCATTTATTCATTATTTATTTGTTTGTTTATGTACAGTATTTGCACATCTTGTATGCGTGGCGGACGTTTTTTTTGCCGCCTTCTTTTTCTTTGCATCTCACTAGGCAAATCTCCTGTAACTGTGAACTCCTAAATCCATAAATTAACTTTGAATATTAATCCGGCTGCAGTTTTATGTAAGGTATTTAAGGTCTATTATATTTACGATGGATTATAAATCCCTTTGCCGTCCAGCAACATTCGTAAAAATTACCAAAAAAAGAAATAATTATTGTAGCTAAAAAGGATATTTTTATGGGTTATATGCTTTAAGTTAACGAAAATGTTATGAAATGCGTATTTTTGATTCGGCTGTTGATCATTAATACTCCAAGAATTTATTTACATTATGCCACGCGATATCAGTTTATGTGACGCCTCAAATTACACATAAAAAAAAAAAAATAATAATGACCATATATTGTACAGTTCAAACCAATTTCATGATAAGGAAACTTTCGCACAGTCGTTGCAAATAATTAGACGGGATGTTGAATATTTTATTATTGTAAAATTGATATTTGTTTATTCAAAATACGCCTATTATGTTGAGATCCTAATGGCGTGATAAATATTTCCATAAATGAGATGTGTTTTTTGCCCTTCCCTTTTAACATTTCTTAATATAGTAATCAAAAATATTCATTATTTAACAAATAATTACTAAAAAAATGTAGCCAATGATGATATGAATAGTTATGTATATAAGATCAAATAAAAACCAGATTGTCGTATAAACTATGTACCTTAAATCTAAATAGTTCGTCTTGTAGGCTGGCATGTCCGAATTTAGATTTGGGGATTTAAGGTGACACAACAGCAGGATTTTTACCTGAAATAAAAGACATGGGGGTGTTCTCCTTACCTCATGTACGCAGCACACCGTGCAGGCGAATTTGTGTGAATCTTCCGGATCATGAGGAGTCCTATATAAATGCAAACATGCGACTTTATTACTGACCGTAACTTTCTATTTTTGATTTTCGAAATACAGTATACACCGAAGTAAAACCCGATCACTCAAAACATTCACTACAAATTCATCTAGCACGAATGCCATAGGGGTGTTGCATACATGAGGTAAGGAGAACACCCCCCATGTCTTTTATTTCGGGTAAAAAATCTCTGTTTGGCACAACTAGTTTAATCATTGATTTCAGACGCACAACAATCCAAGATTCATTTACACAAATACAGATCTTCAGCTATGTATCAAAATGTTGCTCAATGTCTATTATATACTGTATATCCTCTAAAAACTTCGTCTTTATACTTGGAGCAAAAAGTCCCCCAATACATATTTCGGTTTACCCGGAGCAAGCAAAAAAAAAATATATTTCTCTTTTTTTTTTCTTGTTGAAGAAAATTACATTTATAAAGGCCATTCGACTATTTACATAACTATAAAGAATAAAATCGCCTGAATAATAAAATATAAACCTCTTGAAATTTAACCGATTCTTCTGGAATACTAGAAACTATTTTCACTCCGAATCATCAAAATAGAACCTATGCATCATTGCTTATGAGAATTTATACTCATTTGTCATCACTAAACATGAGTTTCCTTTCTGCGCAAAAATTTCAATATAAGAGAAATATAAATTTACAGAAGAATGCATATAAAAATCGGCGCAAGTCTATATTTCAATTACTGTAATAGCAGATTGATTGGTGTTACAAAATGCAGGTCGTTCTATCTTCAGCATACTGTATATAGTATCAGTTATTTTGACGGATGAAAATTTTTTCAGAATAATTGATTATCTGCCATCGAAAAACACATACATGTCATTGCAACTAATAACATTGGTAAAAAATCATAGAAAGGAAAATTTTTAATTATTGTTAAAATTAATGTTTATGTATGTATATATTGAAGTGAAAATCAGAAACATCGGTGTATCGTTGTGGGGTGAAACTTAAAACTAAATTGGATCATGCATATCAATATAAAAATTTAAAAAATTTCGAATCGTAATGTGAGAAAAAGTGGCAATTAATAAACTTTATGCAATAATTACAGTAATAGCATAAAATAGTCGCTTTAAACATATTTTTTTTAAAAAAAAATAATGAAGTAAAAAAGGAAAAAAAAAAGGTGCTGTGATTTAAAACAATACTTATTTTTTTTAATAATATACTGTACCTTGGAGTGTTTTTTCCCGATTTTATATAACTTGGTTTGTTCTTGTCTTGATATTTGAAGTTCCGGATCGTGAATTCACGGGCAATTATCTTTGAATTTCTGTTCTATTTTTAAATAATGCGTGTATGTTGTGATAATAATTTTAGGATCATAATTACAGAGTCCAAAATCCCTATCCTCTTTCGAAAATAGTTACCAAACATATTTTATATTAGGATGGAGGAATGCGCCACAGTGCGCAACGTGGTATCACGTTACGCCATCACGTTGCCACGAAGGGGGGGAGGACGAAACTTGTAACCATGTAAACATTCGGCGCATGTATAAACATATGCTCAATTCGATAGTATTTAGAGACGAGAAAAAAATAACATTTATTAAATACAGTGCTGGCCATAAATAATGGGAATTTTAATTTTCTAATTTTAAAGATTTTTGCGCCATGAATATCAATCTGTGTCACTATAATTTTTTTTCCTTTTTTAGCTTACGTCTCCTTATTTATAAAAAAATTTTTTTTTCGTGTACCACATATTCCTATAACAGTAAGATCATCATTAGAAATGGATAATAGTTCTCTCGCTTATCAAAGAAGTATTATCCAAGCACTATTGCATACCAATGAATGAAACCCTACCTCTCTAATAAAAAAAACTGGTTTTTCTAAGACAACCGTATATAACTATTGTCATATATCTTCCTAACTCAGGAGAAAGATATGAACAGAAAACTAATAGCAGGGAGACATTTTATATGGATGGACCAATGTGGTATGCTAAAGTTCATAAGAGTGTACTAAAATTAGTACAGTTCTAAGGTGTATGAGATCAAGTGAAAGAGGCAATGGTGATTTGTTTTGTAAAGGTCAAGTTATTTTATTAATAAAGAGAAAAGTTCAACCTTGCAATTTCAGGAGGAATTGGAGGCATTTATATACATATTTTTAGTATATAATTTGGTACAGAATAAGTATATGTTATGGTAAAAATATAAGTTAAGATATAGGTACTATTTTCGTCAGAATATTCAACTATGCTATCAGTTACATAGATAAATACTTTGGCGAAGATAATATAAAGAGTAAAGATGAAAGACCTCCCGGTCATAGTCCAGTGGGCTAAGGCAGGGTAGGGCTAACCTATGACCCACAGTTCAATTCCAGCTGGGGGACAATTCACATATCCCAAATAGGAACTTTGTGTCACTGCCCCTGTAACTCGTGATAGAGAGCGATTTGGATTGTTCCGGTAATCAAGGAGCCTTATAGGTATACTACACCCCATTGGTCGAAAATATAGATGATCTGATTGATAAACTTTCTGATCAAGTATTGCCCGGGAAATACCTCCAAAAGGGGGAAGAAGTTTCATGGGATCTTTCCAGTAGCGGAAAGAAAGGTACAGACGGCTAAAACTATTAGTCGCACAACTATCAGTAAGAGTTTCACATGTCCAATGGTAGCGAGGATCTGGTCAGGGGTGCAGGAGGTTGCTTGTATCACGGGATGTTCTATCCTAAGGGGTACACTTGTGACGGTTGACTGCATGACCCCATAAAATGTAACCCTCCACATGTGTTGCTAGGTTAGATTAGGAAGGGTGAGGCTGGGTCCGATTCCCAGGCGAATTTGGTGTACTGGTATACCCTCATCCCGCCAATAATATCTCACTGACTAAAATCCTAGTAAGTCTTGGCTAAACTGAATGGTTGAAAAACTGTAGCCGGTGACTGCAGGCGTTGATCGTCAAGGCAGATAGCAAGGCCTGCTTGTCTTGATGTAGCACTTATTCACCTCCACCGTCTATACTTAGAGGCTTAGGCCTGCGACGAGTTAGTAGGACCGACCTTCACTCATATACCCCGGAGGAACACTGGGGATTGGCAATAGTGATCAGAGGTACCTGCGCTGATGGCAATGGGTAAAAAAAAAAAAATAAAATAAAAAAATAAAGAGTAAAGATGAAATAAAATAGGAATATTCTAGAAATGATAAAGGTGCAATATGTACAATATGTGTCAAAAGTGCAGTAACAGATCTGTAATACAAGATTATTCTAGAATGGACAATATTACAAGGGTAAATGCTAAAATTGAACAAGGGATAATGAAGATCATTAAGCGAAAATCAAGTATAACACTATATAAAAAAATTAAAAAAAAATAATAATTTAAACCCTCTATCTCATTCGGGACAACCTTCCAAGTTGTCTCCCAAGGAACTCAAAAATCTTAATAAATTCATAAAAAAAATCCAAAAATTTCTGTTAAAAAACTTGTGTCTAAATTGAACGCCAGTAATCCAGACCTAAAAATATCAGTGAGAACCATCAACAGGATGCTTGCAAACCATGGGTGGGTGGTTACAATTCTTAAACGGGTTCCTCTTCTTACCGAAGAACACAAAAATTGTCGCTTAGAATGGGCTGAAGCTCATGTTAATCAAAAATGGAGTTGAGTCGTTTTTTCTGACAAATCT